CGAAATTACTTTACTATTACACGTACATGTACATCCAGTACATCACAGTTAGCCAAGCTACGCGGAAGAGTCTTAGCGACGGCTCTACCTCGGACAACGTAGATAAGAGCGCTAGCTGTGATGCAGAGTTGCACTGTTGAGGGCTCGTGTGTGACCTCAGATACGAATAACGATGTGAAGTGGACCGTGCAGGTCACGGCAGAAGATCCGGGGTCAGAATCTAATGAAGCGTTGCCCTGTTTGCGCTGATGGCTCCTTTTCGTGCGAGAAAAACAAGTTTCTTGTTGCGTTCACTGACTATACAGATCTTGGCCAGCTATTTGAATTCGTCCTTCGTTTTTTATAACCTGGAGTTACGCTCTAGAGTTATTGACATGTATCGCCCATAGCTGCATCGAGTCGAATTTGTTGAACGGTCAATTGACTGCGCAATTTATAGTGAGCGCAAGGCAGCGCGTAAATAGCGCATCGAGATTATAGCTCAAATTCAAAAATATTCGCATGATTATGCTGTGAACTTTAAATAATTTTTTTACAATTAGAAAACACGCATCAAGTATTGAAGAGCCTCGTTTGAGGCGTGGAGCGATTAGATTAGTGATGTTTAGGCCGTGACTTCATCGAATGGAAGAGATTCTTTGCGTGAATAAATGATCGTGAAATTTAATCTTTGTTGTAGCAAAGATTAAATTTACAAGCAGAAGAACTTATATTCCACAAATTTTCCCTCTCTCAAAAAATTCATCCTGCTAAGAGATTCATTTTCCTAAACAGCGGAAAAATCAAAAATGTTCAAAAATTACAATTATGTATTGGTGCTCCCGCAACCTTGTGGCACATGAACAGCGACCAGAGCCGTGAACATCAAATACGACATTCAACTAACTAATATGTCTATATTATTTAATATTCATAATTCACATCAACTTTACCATATTCAATAATTCATGAATGCCACTAAACAAATATATATTTAACATATATAGAATAAATTCACAAATTGCCTAAACTCAGTCATAATGGAAATCATTCCATGAAAAACACAAAGACTTTGGCGTGTAAACTTCTAAGCTGAACATAATTGCACGTTGATGAACCCTGTACGAGAACGTCAACTAAGCCTGAACTTTGGTGTAAATATTTAAAGTTTACTAAATTACAACTGTTTTGCGCGAGATTCAAGCAATGAACAGGTTTAGCTTTGCAACATTCAAATTGAGGAGTATACGATGTGTGCACATAGGATAAAAGGTGGCTAGGATACAAGAACGGTATCTACAGGGTCCGCCATATTTATGGCAACGGATGTTTGCTATATAAAAATAAATTGGTTTCTAGGAGACTTTTCTTTTATAATGAAGCTTAATATCATCTAATAATTCATCTATTTCATATTGCAGAAGTCTAAGGTGTCTAAATTTACTATTACTTATGGAAGTAGATAGAAATGCAATTGTAACCCTTCATGAAAAGGGCGAGAGTAATTCAGTCATTGCAAAAAAGCTCCAAATTCGTCGTGAAACTGTAGAAGGTGGTAAAAAAATTCAAGGTTATCATCTAATAATTCATCTATTTTATATTGCAGAAGTCTAAGGTGTCTAAATTTACTATTACTTATGGAAGTAGATAGAAATGCAATTGTAACCCTTCATGAAAAGGGCGAGAGTAATTCAGTCATTGCAAAAAAGCTCCAAATTCGTCGTGAAACTGTAGAAGGTGGTAAAAAAATTCAAGGAAACTGGTGAAACATGCAATCGACCTGGTTAAGGAAGGAAACGAAGTGTCCGAACTAAACAATTGGTTAAAAAACACGAGGGAGAAGTTGAGGAGAAACCCTCGTCGCTCAGCTGCAAAATTGGCTGCAGAAGCAGGAGTCAGTCAGACATCAATGCGTAGAGTCCTCAAAGATGAACTCAAAACCTCCCCTTATAAGATGAAAACAAGGCATGAACTAACAGACCGTCATGAACGAATGAGGCTCGAGAGATGCCAGCACATTCTGGATCTCATTGAGGATGGCACGCTGCCCGACTTAGTGTTCAGTGACGAGAAAAAATTTGACATTGAATAAAGTGTTAACCGTCAAAATGACAGAGTTTGGAGTCGGAATGGATCTGTGGCAACCAGAACAGCAACACGACGTCAAAATCCCATGTCAGTGATGGTTTGGGCCGCGGTAACCGCCACTGGGAGGTCCCCACTCGTTTTTGTCCTCTCAGGAGAGAAATTGAATTGAACAGTCTGCGATACATTTCGGACATTATAGAAGCTGTGTTGTTACCTTGGGCCCGTAAACACTTCAACGGCTCACCATGGAGTTTTCAACAAGACTCTACCCCATCACATGGCTCCAACAAGACCCAAAACTGGATTCAGGGTCACATCCCAGCGTTCATTAGCAAAAATGAATGGCCCTAGAGAAGCCCTGATTTGAATCCTCTCGACTTTTCTGTGTGGGCTATTTAGAGAGTAGGGTCTGCAGAACACCTCATGATTCTTTGGATAGTTTAAAGTCTAAATTGACACGAGAATGGGACTTGATCCCTCAAGAAATGCTGCGTGTCACCTGTGAAGCTTTCCCGCGTAGATCGGAGGCCGTCATTAAAAATAAGGGTGGTCATATTGAATAAATATGTCTGAGAATTGTTTAAGTACTTCTTGGCTACTAACTCATCTAATAAAAAACAATGCACCTGTTTCTTTCATTGAGAAATAACAAAAAACATGCGTTGCCATAAATATGGCGGACCCTGTATACAGACGAATTAAGCGGCTTTGGTAAAACTAACAATGATCGCCGACTAAATGAAATTCACGAAGTGCTAAAACAAGACTCAACCAAAAGCATTCTTTGAGATGAATTTCCGCCACAATATATTCATGGTGTACAACATTTGACATTCATTACATTCATATTTTATCTAGATATCGAATCCTAAGGAACACATCTACGTGGTTAATAGATTTAACAATCACGACGGCCTAGCAAGACGCTCTTATTTGCAGGCAACTGACAAGCCGACTAGTTAGTAGTGATGGTGCTAGGTTAGTAAAAATGAACGTTATTCATCTCGACCTCTAAGTAGTAATTCCAACGAGTTGAGCTTCTGTTACCGATTATTCGAAATGAAATAAACACTATCGGTAATATGAAACAAACCAAATTATCGATTCTCGAACAAAGAGTGCGTTAAATGTAATTATTTCTACGAGCAAAAGGATATTTGTGAACAGCTCCAACTCATCGTTTCCATCAATATTATGTCTTGATATTTGTTAATATCTGTTAATTTTTATGCTCGAATTTCCTATCTATTTCATTGTTTATAAATATGAACGTTTGAGAACATTATTACATAATTCTAAGAAGTGTCCTTGGCAGATTTCCGTCGTTGATACTCGACTGAGTTCGCGCATACCAACACGAGGCCGCCTAACGCTTAGACACAAGCCGACACCTCCCGAAACCTTCAAGACTGCACATATCTTATGATATCTATTATTATTATTAATATGTATCTAATGTAGCATTATCTGGAAAAAATGGTTATCTGTATCGCGTTTTATAAGTATCAACAAAGATATGAATTAGCACAGACGAAAACATTAATTTAAAAAAGTCCTATCAGTGCGAATTATTATTAAATAAAATGGTATTTTTAAATGATATCTTTGCATTGACATCATTAATTGTGTTGCATATGACGGCAGAGAAAAGCGGTGCAACAAATCAAAGCGTAGGCAAGAATGGCTTAGAGTATTTAATTTATGAATAAATATAGATAATTGTACAGTTTGTATGCAAGACAATACCTGAATTGTCTTCCCAAGCTCATTATATTGCTGCTCTATTATGTAAAAATAACAGCAGATTATAAGATCTGCACAGCCCCGTCGATTTCATGCGCATGGTAATTTTTTTGAACACAAGTTACTAATTGAAGTCTGCTTTTCTATCATGCCTGTCACAATTTATTTTGTACTCTTTTTCATTTTCAGCGGATTTAAATTTTAATGAGATCATCAATCAAGTTCACCATCATTTGAAGAAGAATTAAGTCTGCGAATATGAGAAACGATCCATATTTCCCTCTCACAAATTTACAATTCCCAAGGTACGTTTCAGCGTAGCTTTTATTCCAATATCACCTAACAATGTCTCATTTGCAGCGCAATTCTAACATACCATTCGCATATGATGTTTGTACGATCAATTATTATCGGTGATAAAGTATCATCGATAGTTTTGAGAACCTCAGACGAGGAGTGAGATTAAATATCGGTCCAAAGGTGGCAAGAGAAACGCAATTGGAACCAAGTTTTGTGCAGTTACCTGAAATTGTGTTAATCCTGGCGCAAGTTATGCAAGTGCACCTAGCAAGCTATAAGAACTAACAAATTGTAAGCAAAATATAACCATGAAAATGAAATGTCGACATTCATTTCCCAATCTTCGAGGATCAATAACGTCGCCAACATGTGACTGTGTGACTTGACTGAAAATATCAAGTGTGGACAATTTTGTATGTAACTAATCAATTAGCATTGCAGTACATACAATTTAACTTGCGGCCGTTTCGCATGTTCACAAATACTCTACTTGACTCGTATGGATTCTAACAATACCACAATCGCCCAACTTTGCTCTACGTCAGTGAAAAATTAGATTTCCTCCTAGTACAAAGTTTTAGACATGAAAAACTCGATAAATGACGGCTGAACGGTGGTTAACAATATTTCTCGTTGTCAGAGTTGGAGTCGCGCAGCGATTCCATACCCATTATGCATATTCATAATTAATTCGCACCGTAAGATAAAATGTTTGCTTCATAAAAAAATATCAAGTTCCTCAACCTTGAATTTTAAGATTATAACACAAATGCAAGCGTAAATTAATTTTTTTTGTTTTTGTCAGATGAAATAACATCGTCAATATTGGTTCGTAATTCTAAATCGACTCACAGCGCAATAAATTAGGTACATAAATGCTTAACAAAACGAAGACACTGTTGATAACAAACGAGAAGACATATGCCCAAAATATTGCCCTCACCTTACCCATGCTTTTTACAAGTTTACGGCAAAAATCAATAGACCGGTCATCAATGGAAACAGTTCGAGGCATGAAGGGTATCGCCAATTTTAATTAAGATTCTTCTCGAGACAGAAAACAACAACCGGGATATTGTCTACTACCTTGATTCCAGACCTTATACATATCCCCGAAATTATCCAGGGTACCTGAGGCAGATAAAACCTGTGTACTCTGCTAGATTAGATCTCCGTGCGTCACGTTTAATGAGTGTTTATTAATATCCACGTATCTCTCCTTAAAATCGGTATTTAAATTAAAATAAGAGTTCAGGATGAACACACATCGGATCAATCCCGCACTACCTTGTTAATCAGTTCCCTACTCCCTCGAAGTTTTGAATATAGGGATAACCTTGCTAATTTGATTCCTCGGGTACCTCGACGTTTTGAATTCACAGAAAACTTTGCTATTTTCCATTCCGAAATTCCCGAAATGTTGAGCAGATTCGATCATTCCAGATGGTGCGCGGCATTCCGGCTGGTGTGGCAGAACGAATAGAAGAGCGGCTGGTCGTGGAAATGGTGCGCGTCGTTGATGTGATGAATAACGCGCCCTGTCAACAGCGCTCGCCCATACCTGTCAAGAGTGTCTTACAGTGAAAAGATATCTAAACGTCATATGATGAGTGCTTGTCATATTGTATGATTAAAAGTCACCTTTAGGTCATAAGACGACCGGATTCACTTTCAGAGCGTCATGAAAATTCATTGAGTAAAAGGGTAATTGTAAATCTGCGTTTTAAGATGAATTTTCTTTTTCTGTTCAACTTCAGATATGACACGCAAGGTCAATCAACTTACCTGACGGCATGAGTGCGATCGTTGGAGAGTCCGACCATGAGTAGCCAATCAACGAGTTCCTGTCCGGCAAAAACGCTCTTGAGCTTCTGCAGCCTCCACTGTCGGTTCCTGACAATATCCCTGCAGCACTGGTCCATATGATACCTCGTGAACTGCTCACAGATCTGCAGGTGTTCCGCAGATACTTCACTGAGAGGCGGCAACTGCACGGTGCTTGTGCCATATCGTACTCGCCTGTACCATCTCATTAAAGGTAACACGATCAGCGTAGAGTCCAAACCAAAGATCGCAGCCGTGATGAGTCCTTGTCCATAGTTGAGAACCGCGTCCAGGAAAACCATCTCAATGTACACCCCAGACACGTCATCGCTGACGAGCGTCCACAGGCACAAGCCGAAGCCTACGATCATGGAACCGCACAGGAACAACAGCAGCACAACGTGACGCATCATTTGGAACTCATCGTCGCGGTCGCGCAAGATTGAGCTCTCTTGTGGTATTGTGAGGCGTGTCGTGTGAGGCTGGTATTGTCGGTACAATGAGTCGCCTGACGGTGCCTCGTGAATGTTCGTTGGTCCCGCTGATATGTTTTCAGAATACGAATGACTGTCAGCGTTTGACGTGACAACGTCTACTGGATGCCTACGAATAGTTTCTGTCTCAGCACCAGACATACTATGGACTTGCCCATCCGGTATATGTAGCTCAGATTCAGGGTCTTCGCCAATTAATACTTTACAGGATTGATTAGTATCTTCCCATGAATTAGTGGCTGGAATATCTTCATCCTTATTCGAAGCCGTTGCAAAACTGCGAGGTTTTAACAAAGAATGGCTTCTTGGAGAGAGTCGATGATGCTTCGACCCCCCAGATGCCGGGCGTAGCTCATGCGTCGGGCTGAACAGGCTGCCCGTAAAGAAAAAAACTCGCAATATTTCCTAATATCGCCCCCCACTCTATGAAACGTATTCAAACTTTCTATTCTTTCGAATAAAATACAAATTTTTGTAGACCCATTATATCCACATTAGCCCATACGTATCTGCATCTGTCTGTCTGTCAAACGGAAATGAACGGTGAGAGGTAACAGTACAATTGTGACATAAATTAAAACTTAAGGAACAAACTCTTGCATAAAATCATCAATTTTCTCACCTATCTGAATCAGAAGACGTCACCTCCACGTCAGAACCATCAGATACAGTGTGACCAATACCTTCGTCGTCGCCAGCTACGAGAAAAGAAAGCAAACGACCATAATTATTAGCAAGACTTACCAACATATTCTAGTGCTTATCAGTCAAACAAAAAACTATTCAATTTTGATGCTGTTCATGTGATATAATATTGCGAGTTTACTGTTATTATAAAAAATAGTGTAAAATGATACGGAAAATAATTTCTAAAAAAATTTGTTGCTGTAAATTTTCCTCTTTGATATTACTATCATACCGCATTATTGATAATATGACCATGTAGGGATCTAGAACATTACAAGCACCTGCCACTGCTCAAATGTTTGTATCTTTATATTATATTAAATTATTGATCCCAGTTTCACAATGGCAGGAAACTCACGAGCTTGACGGTTGAGTGGGGCGACGTCTTCAGGGGACTGGGCGTCGGCCAGGGACGAGTAGGGCTCGTAGCGCTTCTGCTGACGCTGCTGCAGGATCAGGCACACGATCGTGGCTGCCGTGCAAACAATTATTAGTTACCTATAACTTCACATGAAGCTGATTAACAAATGAAGTGTTCCTGAACTCAAGGTGTAATCTCAAACGTTCATTTATACATTTTTGTTCAATTTAACCATAGAATATACCAAGACGAAACGAGAAGGTCGGCTAAATGTTGATGCGTAAATGAAGATAATGCCGATAACACTCTTGTCAACATCTACTTAATGATATTTTTCTAATGAACAATAAAAATCCTCTTCAATGCGTACTTACACAAAAGTTGCTAAGTCGAAAAATGGCTAAAAACTAAAAAAAAATGACTTTAGATGATCAATAACGCTAACTGCAAGTTAAGGTCAAAAATTGCCAATGATGAAAAGAAAACATAAAAGATCGCCGTTCAAGGACCAAAATGACGGCGAGAAGCGATTATGCGAGCTACAATATTGGTACTGAACAAGAGGAACATCTCACTGCATGAAGGGAACATAACGCAACTGTAGATGCTAGAAATTTAAAAGCAAAGAAAATTCCACACAAATTCGCTAAATCTTAGAAGAAAAAAATATTTTGAATACCAGTTCCATCGCAAGTTCAAAAATTCTAGAATACGTAAATTTTCTGTAATATTCTAGACAAAAGATTTAGAATACTAGAGTTTTAGGCGGCATCTCACTGAATAAAGTGAACCAGAGGAGCAGGAGCGCGACGACGGCCTGCGTGGTGCCGTACTGGAAGTTCAGGTCCTGCTTGTCTGCGAGGTCCATCTCGCGCTGCACGACCATCACCAGCACCAGCACCAGCACGCCAGGCACGCTGCAACAACACGGGCACTTAACAATTGTTGATAATGATAAAATATTAAAAAAAATCAATGTACAGGGAAATACACCGATTAAACTTCAGTAATATGCATTGAAGCACAAATAAAAATAACTAAAAAGGTTTCAACTGAAAAAAAAAATTTTCTAGTTGAAGTTAACGTCAAAAAGTTAACGTTAGTTGACTTTTAATGAAATAAAATAAGGTTACCGCCGCCACCTTGAAACTTTTCTCTCATTGCTTTCTAGTCCAGCAAACTTGAGCATATCAGAAGACCAAAAATACTCGTCAATGACAATGTAGGAATAAAACAATAGAAAAAATAAGATTTCATAAGAGACTACATCGAGAAGTGTATTTAACGCTGAGGCCGCATGCTCAGAGAGAGTGCTGAGTAATTGAATATCGAGTGAAACTACGTATATACCGAGCAAGATGAATACCGAGGAATGTTGAATACAGAGTAACATTTAACACTGATCAACATAGATTACGAGTAATATTAAATATTTTTAACCTGCCTCACCCCCATCCAATGACGAGCAGCACAGGGCGCAAGGAGAGCACAAAGCTGAGGGAGCGCCAGCGCAGGAGGAAGAGCGTCGCCGCCAACAGCGCCGTGAAGAAGCGGGAAGAGAACACGCCGAAGGTGACGAGGCAGAACTGCAGGTACAACTGCCACGTCTGCGTGCAGTCCAGCACCGACCACAGCAGTGCACCTGTTCAGACGTACAGTTCAGGATCTCTGGGGTCGTAGTTTAAAGTACTAGTAGCGGTCTAAGTACAAGGAGCGGCCTAAGTACAGGGTGTTTCAGAATTGACGGATCTACAATAAGAAATAAAAACTTAGCAGATTCGGCCGATCCATAATGGAATCGTTATCTTCCATAAATACTCCATAAATTATCGGCCACGCAATACAACTAAGCTGAAAGAACGCGTAACAAGCTGGAGTCATGATAAGTCAATTGAAAGTGACTGGCAAACGCAATTAATGTAAAATGTAATGCTTAAGTAAAAATAATGCTTATGAATGGGAAGTTGTAGTATGATCGACCATAAATATGACTGCGTCCATACAGCATGCCATCTCTCAAAATGGACAACCTAACTGTGTGAACATAGTAGATATCTTATAAACAAACTAACTCATGAATGGCAATGAAACAAAGAATGAATATTGCACTACAAGAGTAAACAAAAATGTAACTCAGTACTCACTGCAGTGAGTGACAGAGAGCGCATTTTTTCGTCGACGAAAACGCGAAGTCACGGACGGACAGACAGACGGACAGACAGACGGACAGACAGACGGACAGACAGACGGACGTGGCGAGCACACTAGTGCATTTTTTTCATAAATGAGAAAATGCGCTAAAAACACCAACCTAGAGACGCGATGCACTGAGAGGCAGCGAGGCAGAGGGTGATGCAGTGAGGAACTTGTCGCCACTTGCGGCACAGCAGAAACACGACCACAACCCACAACTGCAGAATACAACTTGTCTTATTACTTGTACTTTAATACAGCTACGGTCATGTATGTACATTGTACAAGTTATTAACACTATTGATCAATGGAAATTGTGACAGACGCAATGAGGCTTGCACTGAACGTCAAACTGTAGGAAACGATGTATGTACAAGATATTAATAATATAAAAATATCAGTAATATCAATGTAGGTAATGATAAACGCGATAAGGCTCTCACTGAATCTCAAAACAATAATAAACTCTAAAGTCTAAGATAATAATAATATTTCTAGATGGAGACACTGACAGACTCGATCGTCAAAACGTTTATTAACTTGCATGTCTGAAAATAGAAAAATATTTTAAATTGAGATACTGACAGATGTGATCGTCATAACAGTACGAACTTGCATGTCTAAATATATAAAAATATTTTAAATGGAGATACTGACAGACGTGGTCGTCATAACAGTAATAAACTAGCATGTCTCAAGACAGAAAAATATTTAAATGGCGATACTGACGGAGGCGATGAGGCCGACGAGGCTGACTTGCAGCAGGAAGGTCTCGAGTTCACTGACATAGTAGAGCGGATTGATGTGCACCAGCGCCACCATCTTGGCGGAGACCAGCATCAGAGGTGCCGACAAGAACGTGACCGCCACCATGCTGCTAGCCATCTGCAATTATATATCAATTATTATTACATTCACTTATATTAATATTCACCTATGAGTATTGCTTCTGAAGATTCTCACATCTGGTCATTAATGACACGTGTTGCTACAAGAACATTCTGCCATTCAATGCTAATTATATAAACATATATACCTAATTATCAAATATATTTTACAAATGAATTCTAATATTTTAAATACTATTCAAATACTAGACGTGCTTCAAAAAACCAAAGCCAGTTTTGAAATTAGCAGCGAAATAGCACGAAATGATATCAGAACAATTTTCTTTGTTGACCAGTGTTATCCAACCGGCCCATAAATACAAATGGAATAGAGTTACTGCTATGATTAGCATAAAACTAAAATAGTTAGGTAAATTGGAATAGATTACTATGGTAAACTTCAAGCGCGATTCTCTGTTTCCTTTTTCGTTGATAACTTTGGTGAACATTCTGGACAGAAGGATCAAGATCCCTAGGCCTTTCGATACAAACAGTGACAAGTATTTGTGGGAGGTGACAAAAGAGCGAAGATCACCAATTCCATCTAAATTCAAATGGTTTTCCAACCTGCTTGTTCTATTTGATTGTTATATGCTGGAGACCAAATACGTTGACTAACCAACAATTGAAGTCCGTGTTTGCTGTAAAATGGACTTAACATGGCACATATTCATATTAACAGTAATTATAATGTTTTAATAAATAAAATTACGTTAGAAGAATACATTTTCGTTTGTCAACACATTTTTATTCAAACCACTGCAGAAATACGGACCAGGTCAGGCTGTATGTTGTAGTGCGAGGCGAAGACGAAGACAGAGGGGGCCGTAGGGAAGGTGCCGTACAGGAAGCCGTAGTTGCCGTAGTCTTTAGTGACGTTTAAGTTGTCCCCGCCAGGCTTCAATAAGCTCACAAACTCCCGACACACTAACGGCAGCATCAACCTGTTCCACACATGTACATATTTATTCTACCTTTTCATAGGATTATTATTGCATCTCGTTTTCTCAATTAATTTATTTCTTCTCGTCATTCAATTTGGAAATAACAGTAGGTTAATTTTCAAATTTATAAATTTACATCTACGTATTTATTGCACCTAATTCATAGCAATTTGACTGCTCAAGTTTTCTAAATTCATTTCTTCAAATTTTTTAACTTTGAAATAGCAGTTATTCGCGTATCCAATATGTTAATTTATTTGCCAATTCATTATTTTAATGTATTTTTAGGAGGGTTAAATTATTTCTAGACTTGACTGACGTCTTGACAGCGATGAGGATGCCAGGGACGACCAGCGAGGAGCCTCTGAGAGCGGCCACCTGCCCCACCATGCGCACCCCCAGGGCAAACAAGGCGCTTGCACTGAATGCTTGGCCCAACACCTGCACAAATATCACAGTTAAAATACTTATATCATTTATTAAGCTTCAGAGGTATTATTTAATAACAAAATAACATGCGCACCCCCAGGGCAAACAAGGTGCTTGCACTGAATGCTTGGCCCAACACCTGCCCAAACATCACACTCAAAAACCCTACTTCATTAATTAAGCATCAGGAGCATTATTAAATAATTAAATAATATCCGCACCCCCAGGGCAAACAAGGCGCACAGAAGACTTGGCAAACACCAGCCCCCCTCATTACACTTAACTAATTAAGCTATTTTTGTTTGTTAGGCAAGCTTAGGCTACATGTTTCAGTATCTTTCAACTAAAATTTAAAAAGTTAATATCTTCAACTGAGCATATTCAAAGGAGAAGAAACTTATCTTGTTATTTAGTTCAACATATGGATAATTTTGAATTAATCGGCATATAGTTCGAGTCTAAATTTAACTAAAATAACGGCAGGTATTCTGTCGTTGTAAATAAATTTCACCCATAACAATTTTGTTGTACGTTTCAAGTAATTTTTGATATTTCCAGTCCAGATTGTAAATAATGATGTAAATTATAATTATATTAAAAATTATAAATATGAGCAACTCAAACAGAAACGACAATATTATACATACGGTAGGTCTTAGAGACTTTCACAAATTAGGTGGTAGTAATGTGTCACTTAAAATGTAACGTCAAACTAATTCGAAAGCATTTACTAGTACGAAAACAAAACAAAAATTATCTGACCGACAGCGTGCCCTCCAGGAGCTGCGGAAGATGATGCTTGAACAAGACGTTGCAAACAATGCCCAGTATAGACATTGTAACCACTGGGTTAAGGAGGATGCCTTGAATTGTTTTCCTCAGGAACTGAAATTTCTTGAACGAAGATCTCATATTTCTAGTCTCCCTGATGACGTTGCTTATCTCAAGGGGCTGTTCTGAACTGGTGGTGGTGGTGGTGGTGCTGGAGGTGGCATCTGAAGAACAACTTATGTTGTCGCTGTCTAAAGAGTTTGCTGGACGGTTTGCTGTGGAAGATCGTTTGTTCCTTTGGGCTGCTTTAATATTCTTGCCAGCCTGGTAACAAAAAAAAAAACAGGTTAATTGAAATGGGGCGGCTGTAGATAGATTTTTAGATTGAATAAATCAAAAGGGAACTTGCAGTTTCTATGAGTTCTGCAAGAATATATTGTAATTTTATCATAGGTAAAATGATAACAAATTTAAAAAATCATACAACTAGACACAGACAAATGAAATTAAAAGGCAGTGGTTTTTATTCTTTACTTCTATCTCGTTGCTAGTAATTTGGTTAGATTGATTTATCATTTTAGTTCAGCTGATTTTGATTTTTTAAATTATTACTACTGTTTTAACAGCAATTAGCCCTTTCGATGGAAATAAATCATTTTCAAATTATGAACATTCTGCTATAGGAACCAAAAAATGAAACAAAATCAAATATTTTCATGATACTAGTAGCATACTAAATGAACTCACCTCCATGAGCACAAAGCCCACTGGGTTGAGGAAGACCAGGGAGATGGGTGCCAGCAGGTACAGGTATGATGGGTAGTCTGGATGAGTGACTCCATACAGAGCCTTCACTGCAAACAAGGCCTTGTAGTGAACAACTGATAGCACAGTCCTTAATGTTTCAATAGTTGGTGCTTTAGAAATTAGTTTGCATAGTGGAAGTTGTTTTCAATATTTGAGCAAAAGAAGGATACATCTGGTAGCATTTATTAATGTAAATTGTTGAACAAAAATATAATATTATTATTCAAAATAATATAGGTAGATATGTACCCGGTATCTATGCTAAAGAAGTGAAAATTTGCTTTGCATATCGAAAGAATTCTTAGAAGCAAAATACAAATGAGGGATGTCTAGAAGATCTAAATAATTTCTGCAAAGTGAATTTTCAGTTATATATTAGTAACTGATCTATATAAAAATAGTAGCTCATTACCTATAGGGTAGCCCAGAGCAAAGTCATTGCTCTGGGTGCAGAAGATGGCATAAAGTCCAGCCTTGCTGAAGTCAGTAGGTCGATGGACAAGTAAAGTGATGATGGCCACCAGCACAAACACTACGCTCTTTGCCAGGCAGATGGAACAGAGGAACAACCAGTTGACGGAGCTGGGGTAGAAATCATTCAGGTGAAATTTATTTTAATAGGCAAGAGAACATAGTACAATAACACTTTGTAAACCAAGCATATTCAAGCTGATTGATATAATATTTTCATATATTTGCAATTGTGTGAATAAATGTTGTACTAATGATGAGGATGATACAATCTGTGAACCTGTACTTCAAGGTAAAAAGCTAAATAAGATCATCAAATATTTTTTAGAACAATGTCTACATGAATTTCTTTTGATGTATACATTATTCAATTATTACAAGAACTCATCTGTTCTGATTTTGACCTCTCAAAAGCTCAATAGAATAAGTGCAAGTAAAATGAATCAAGTTTTAATGTGAAGGTAAAATACAGATGCAGCACAAAAACTTCAATCAATTTATTTCCAGAATTATTGGTTACCCTAGGAACAATCAACAATTGCAGAGTCTCAATTGCAGATCTATATTGATGTTATATGCATATATAGGTGCTGTATATAGGCTTTTATAGGTACTCAATGAATAGTTAATTAAGAAATTCTTTGCACATTATTAACTTTTTCCAAATTATTCATAAAGAGATGTAGTCATTTTTTTAGCGTAAGTTTTTTAATCCTTTTTGGAGAGCAGTTGAATAGTCTGATTAAACTTTAAACCAAGATAATAATTGAAATATAACAATGATTGAAAAATAAAAAAATTCTACATATATACTGCTGCAGTCTAGATTAAAGCAAGCTGTAAATATCAGCTATTACAGATTTCTGAGAGCTTACAATGCAACTATTTGGTAACTAACTGAGCAAATTATCTCACCTGAAATCCAGTTTAGCAAGGGACAGGAATATCAGGGCAGGGAGAGAGAAGTAGCTTACAAATGTATTAAGACCCTTGGCTTCTGTCTGGGATATGATGTTGCTTCGACCAGCAACATACCTGCAAAATTGAGGGATGGAGTTGATGAAAATTACTAATTCATAAGATGATTAAGTTAATCAGATTAACTATACTATTAAACATTCAATGACAATAAAATGAATGCTATGAACATACTCATTGTAAATTGCTATTTACATTAATATATGATCCAATACAAACAAAAGAAAAATCTTGAGATGATGGCAATTGGGTACTTAAAATACAACAAGTCAAACTTCTTGAATAATTCAAACAGTAATTATTATTCTCATAGAATAACTCCCTTTTTACAAAACACAGCAATACAAAACACAGCAACTTACCCACAAAGAATAATGGCAAAACACTGTATTACAGCAATGTAGAGGTTGGAAAAGTCAACACTTGAATCTTGATCAGCCTCAGAAGACCCTGAATCAGGCAGTTCCAATGTTGTCTCAGCCATGGCTCTAACAATCCCTCTACTTGTCATTGACTTATTGTGGTAAATTGCTTTCAAACTCTTTTCATCATTAGGATTCAAAGTTGCATTATCAGTGAGGTATTCAGGTTGACTATACTCCTGAAAAGAAAAATGCACACAAATTCAAACAGAGGCATAACTAATAACTTGTATAACTACGAGGCAGTACAACTGTACAAGCCATGACATGAAAAACTCCAACATTATGATGAAAATTCTAAACTCCAGAATGACTGAGAATGTATGAGCTCAAGTTCATTTATGAGACCTATAAGTAAACCAGTGAACTTGAGTAAAGTATCCTGGATACCAGCATTATCATACATAAAAAATTAGTTTAAATCTTGGGTAAATGAGGAAGGTAAAAATGAACTAATTTTAAAAAATCTCTGGTTTGTCACTATGTGACAGTATGAAAAATAAACTTTTCTTAATTTATGAAGATCAGATAATACCATTTAATTGAGAGGTATTACTTTAGATTAAGTGCATCCAAAAATAGGGTGTTTTTTTTAATTATAGTCAGATGGGGTAAGACAGGACCGAAATCACTAACAAGCCTGTAGCATCTATACCATGAATAACTAAAAAACCCTAAACCTATCACAAGGTGTAGTTATGCAATGGGCTTCTAAGCTACAACTCAAACGTTTTGCAACTAACATAGTTTTCTGTACATATTGAAAAAAGTGAGCTGGTCCCATCTTACCCCATTGGGGTAAGATGGGACCAGGCTGGGGTAAGAAAGGACCAACAGGTAATTCTTATGTTACAAGGTTTTTAATAAAAGTACAAATCTGATATTCAATATTATCCATATAGAAACACATTATTTGATTAATCAACCACTTGTTACTGTTTTGTGTTGTGGGAAGTCAACTCTAATATCAGTCACATTGAAGTTTTTGTTACAAGAAAACTTTGTTAAGCATAGTAATAGGGGGTTGGCTTTGGTTCATTGTAGAGCACTGCTAGTTTCTTCATGTATACGGTATTCCATTAGTGTCATTGCCTGAAAAATTTATCAAATTGATAATAAAACCAATGGATAATAACTTAAGTATCAAACCACATGTGTTTTCTTGCTAACTGCATTTGTGGTGCACTTCTTCAAACATAGCTCATGCCCTCTCACAGAGTTGTGATCATAATTATTTTTCATATTTAACACAATGATTTTCCCCCCCCCCCATTCCTGCACATAGTTCTGCAGCTCACTAATGGGAAGAGACATCCCTATTTTCTATATCCCTTTGATGCAATTTAAAATAGTGCATTAAATTTTTCTAATTAAAAAAGCTAACAAGTTATAATGAAGTTTGAGCAAAAGAGAACAAATTTGACCAAAATACTCCATGTACTACACAATAATATATTCATTTAAAAACTATTTTTTGATAATCTGTAGGCTAATAGAGGACCATTTGTGGGGTAAGACAGGACTGTTTGTGGGTAAGATAGGACCACTTGTGTGGTAAACAGGATCATTTAATGGTCCTGTCTTACCCCATGTCCGGTCCTTTTTTACCCCATTTTAGAATACATGTCAAGCAGGTAGGAATGCTATGAATGATGGTAGCAGGTAGGAATGCCTAGTGTGTCTAAAAAGTTGCATATTACTCGAGGTAACCTGCCTACATCCACAAACCTGGCCAAAAAAATTTTTGTCATTAGATAGAGCTTATTTCCCAAACAGGGTTAACTATTTTGTGACCCTTCTTTACATATGGTTCCAAAGGCCGGATCTCTTGTGAATCAAGTCACGAAAAGTTCAAGAATCGGCAACAGGCCATGGGCCTATTTCTTCAACGCCGACACTTCTATTCTCTCTGGTACGGCACTTGCACTACGAGTCTACGACTACGGCCCAGGAACGCCGTACGCGTACCGCGGCGTATACTACGTACCAGATGACAAAAATCTACTCAAAAAATGTTTTTTTTTTTTAATCGTCAAATGCATGAGTATTAACACATTTATCTTTAATATTTAATCAGCTATTTTTCTTGGAACTGGATACTTTAATCCTTTTTTTTCGTAGAAGACTAACGGCCTAACGCTGACAGAGCCAGAGCCCTTACACTCTACGATCAGCTGTTACGGTTCTTCCCAGGTTAAAAATAAACACAATATGGGGTAAATCTTAACGGTTGAATAATGATACCCCAAAAAATCCTTTGTTAATTAAATCACAAAGATGCTGTGAGCCTTACGAAATGAAAAACATGCATTTCAACTCGTACCTTGGAAATGAGGATCCCGTTTACAAAAATCCCCTCACTGCCTCCACTCGTTGGTCGGTCAATTAGTTCATAGCATGCCATGGGCAAGCTCATGAAGCCGTAGTGGAAGACCTGTAATAAAACAAGGAACATATTTTAAATTTTCAAGTAAAAATATAGTTTATTATTATTATATAATACTGCACAATTATACCATACATTAATTTTTATTCCATTACTGCAGTATTCAAAAAATCAATATTAAACCCAACTTAGTGCGATCATTTTCGCCAGTCCCAAGCCCATAACTCATTCAAATCCCATGGTTGAATTAATACACATTCAATCATGGTCTAACCCTATTTGGGTCAATAAAAAAACACTACTCATTACTGATATGTGCTGTAGCGAATATGAACTACATTTTTTAGTTGGCCACGTTTCTTAGTAAAGTAAAAAGACTCTCGTTGTTTTTCAATAACAACTTATAACTATCATCGATTTAAAACAGATACAAATTAAATTTGAAACAAATCTCAGTATTGGTGTGCTACGAAGCATATCGCCGAGTTTTTTTGCTCTCCTCTGTATTTATCAAAACTAAATTGTTGAGAATATGTGTTGTGTAACGATAGGCTCAGTTAGGATAGGTTAGTTTGAGAAAGTTGGGTTAGGTTGTGATAGTTAGTTTAGGTTGAGATAATTGAGTTAGGTTGAGATAGTTTAGGTAGAGATAGTTGGGTTAGGTTAAGATATTTGGATTAGGTTGAGATAGTTGGGTTAGGTTGAGATATTTGGGTTAGGTTGAGATATTTGGGTTAGGTTGAGATAGTTGGGTTAGGTTGAGATAGTTAGGTTAGGTTGAGATAGTTGGGTTAGGTTGAAATTGTTGGGTTCGGTTGAGATAGTTGGGTTCGGTTGAGATAGTTGGGTTAGGTCGAGATAGTTGGGTTTGGTTGGATTAATTTACGTTAGATTATATTCGGTTATTTGTTTTTGCATCATAATGACTGAACCTGAACTTTTACTTAACATAGTACCTAACCTGACCTAAATATTCTCTTAGAAATTGGGCTTCTTTCAAAACGAAGCTGGCTAAATAATTTTTGACAATTCATGCGACGGCATATTCGCATCCATGTTGGAATGCTGCTCATCATATGATTTCATTCGTCCTCGCTCATTTTTTCTTTGCATTTATTCGTTATTCCTCTCTTTTTTAGGTTGAGATAATTGAGTTAGGTTGAGATAGTTTAGGTAGAGATAGTTGGGTTAGGTTAAGATATTTGGATTAGGTTGAGATAGTTGGGTTACGTTGAGATAGTTGGGTTAGGTTGAGATAGTTGGGTTAGGTTGAGATAGTTGGGTTAGGCTGAGATAGTTAGGTTAGGTTGAGATAGTTAGGTTAGGTTGAGATAGTTAGGTTAGGTTGAGATATTTGTGTTAGGTTGAGATAGTTTGGTTAGGTTAAGATAGTTAGGTTAGGTTAAGATAGTTAGGTCATGTTGAGATAGTTGAGTTAGGTTGAGATAGTTGGGTTAGGTTGAGATAGTTGGTTAGGTTGAGATATTTGTGTTTGGTCGAGATAGTTGGGTTTGGTTGGATTAATTTACGTTAGATTATATTCGGTTATTTGTTTTTGCATCATAATGACTGAACCTGATTTTTTACTTAAAATAGTACCTAACCCGACCTAAATATTCTCTTAAAAATTAGGTTTCTTACAAAACGAAGCTGACTAAATAATTTTTGACAGTTCATGCGACGGCAAATTCGCATTCATTTTGGAGTACTGCTCTTCATATGATTACATTCGTTCTCGCTCAACTTTTCTTTGCATTTATTCCTCTCTTTCCTTCAATGTTTGTCGGCAGTCGTGCCAGAATCTGCGGCGAAGGAAAGTTCGGCGATTTCAAAAATTCCAAGAATTTCTCATCAACGGGAGGATGCATGAAGGGGGGATGCCGTGTGGGAGGATACATGAAGGCCATTAATATCTACATTTTACTAGACAGTATTTAGGTGAGAAACCGGTGAACGTTGAAAACCGAGAGAAGAATGATTTATTGCTCAATTTATACACCAAAATTAATATAATCAACTATATGGCCAGGTTCTTGCAAGTCTTGGGACTGAAAGACCAATGAGAATTTTATACCGTTTGGATCGCTTTCTAACGCACTATCATTGAATAATTGGAAGAATATAACGACATATTTTCATTTTAGAACATTTTTATTTTTTTCTGTGTGAAAAAGTCGTAGAAAAGACATTTCATTCTCATTGTACCTTTTTAAAAACTGGGCTTCGTACACGGGGCTACGTATATATATGGTATTAAAAAATATGGTAAAGTCTCTAGTACAAAACACAGATTTTTTTAATAACTAATTTTTATGCATGTAGCAGGTTTTCCAATGCAAGGTTATTCAAGTTCAAATTGAATAATTTTTCTCCGAATTCTAACATTTTCGCCGAATTTATTTGGTTAGACATCGTCTGAATCGTAGTAGTTCAATCAATGATTGACGAAGCAACTTGGTTACAAATTTAACTTGAGATTTGCAAACTAAGTTTATTTTTAAACTGCGAATTTGAACTATAGGAACGTCATTCAAACATCAGCAAGAGTTCATACTGTGATATCCGATTTCAGGACAACCTGAACCTGAAAAATTGTCATGTATACGAAAAACATTCATTATTATTCACGCTGGGGCCTCTCCTATATACTTACGAGTAAATATCACACGTACGTGGCCACGAATCGGCGTCGCTGAAGCTGATGATGTTAGTGTTAAGAAAAAGAAATTAAATCTATGGAGCATGTTGTGGATAAAACTATATATATGTGGAGAATTCGTCGGAATTATTTGTGATATCAACACATGAATATTAAAAAAAAATTAATTCCTATCATTAACTACTATATATATGTAATATCTTACAGTGTTAATTTTAATATTAAATAATGTTAAATTTATGTAAACGTAGGTATAGGTTTCGTGTAAGGTTAATAAATCGAGAACTCAAGTCAAGTAAGTAGATCAAAGGCCGTCACCAGAGGGCACTAGGTCCAACTATATGCAGGCTACGATCGATATACTTATCAGGAGCTAACCTTAATGGGTTCAATTGCATCTATTGCATCACAGCCATGCATTTAACTGCTCTGAACTGCACCACCAACTGCTCTGAACTGCACCACCAACTGCTCTGAACTGCATCACCAACTGCTCTGAACTGCACCACCAACTGCTCTGAACTGCACCATCAACTGCTCTGAACTGCACCACCAAGCAGTCATTAATGCTCGCTGATGAGACGAAAGCACACGCGATTGATTATAAAATGCATTAATGGTTAGATTATTTAAATTCGCTCAATGACCTAGTCTATAAATTCACTCGCAGGACGCTATAGAGGTCAGTTATTTATATCACTAAGTGTTACACGGAGCACGTTGACACACATCCTGAGAGCAGGGGTAATCCTATTAGTTATTACATCCATCCTTAGACATAATATATATGTAACTATGTGAGTGTTTATAGATAGCGAGTGTTTGCTTATCTTAGTTCCTATGCTTGGCAACTATGAAGTATTACATGTCTAGGGTAACATCTCCCCTTCTCTCTGATCTAGAAGTTGAGAAGTTTCATGTCAAGAGAAAGGAATCGAATGGTTCCTTAATATGTGGAGAGAATTTATATGGTTTATCACAATATCGATTGATAAGCGGAAAACTCTGTTTTTTTAATTAAGAGTGAGCTACAATTTTATTAAAAATGGTAAATCAAATTGTGATCGATAAATTTAATCTCACACTTCTAAAGATTTAAGATGGAAAAAATATCGCATATAGTTATGCTTTTTCTCATCTATTTACCTCCCATTGAACTCGTTATTGATTCACCTCAGTGCCCCAGAACCTTTCACCTCGTGTTGGACAAATTCATTAGATGTCCTAGCTCTGATGAATAATTATGTTCGATCGTTTCTTTCTGCGAATTATAAGGTGATTCTTATTGCCTATAGGAACGTGTTAATTTCAATATATATCCAGGAGCTACAATAAACAATCATGAAGCATCGCGCCATATCTGTTATATACCCTTATCAAGTATAAATTAAATCAACAAACAGATGAGGACTAACTTCTAATCAAATAAACTTCCATCTCGAATGCCTACCGAATTTCTCAGCACATAGCGACATATTTTAAAAATTGTTGAGCCCATTAAATAGTGCGAAATGGCGCAGTTCGATAGAGCGTTGTAGGGCTGCATGACCACGATCCTGATTTTCATCACAGCTTCTTATCATATTCTTATCGTATTTTTATAACCATATCGTATTTTCATACCCTTACGTGGTATTTTTATACCCTTGTCTATTATTATAACCTTGTCTTATTTCTATATTTTTGTGGTATTTTTATACCCTTGTGTTGTATATCCTCGTTGTATTTTATACCCAAGCTGTATTTTTATACCCTTGTCGTATGCTCACACCTTTGTCGTATTTTATACCCTTGTCATATTTTCATACCCTTGCAGCAATTTCATACCTTTCTAGTATTTTTATACCCTTGTCGTATTTTCATATCCTTGTCGTATTTTAATACCCTTGTCGCATTTTCATACCTATGCGATATGTTTAAACCTTTGTCATATTTTTATACCTTTAACCTTGTAACATTTTATTACCCTTGTCATACCCTTGTATATAACTCTTAATTTATTGTTCCCTCATCAATAACGAGTTTGATCAAACGACAGAAAATCGCGATGGATATGGAATGCATATAGCTGTCTAATTCGTTTTCCGGGCTTCATAACACAATTGATTAGTTACACTTATTTTAATCACATGTATTGCTTGATGCATCACGAAACAACAAATAAAACCTTATTCCAGACGACCAAGACCTCATTTTCTCGCCAAATGTCAACGAAAGCAATTATTCATACTGAACCTTTGCGCAACCTCAAACCGGCACTGCTTCGTGTGTAATCGAGGATATTGATCACTGCTTCATGTATAATCGAGGATATTGATCACTGCTTCATGTATAATCGAGGATATTGATCACTGCTTCATGTATAATCGAGGATATTGATCACTGCTTCATGTATAATCGAGGATATTGATCACTGCTTCAGGTATTATCGAAGATATTGATCACGTATAATCGAGGATATTGATCACTGCTTCATGTATAATCGATGATATTGATCGCTGCTTCATGTATACCTACTCTATATTGTTCAGATAGCAGTTTACCATCATACAGATGCATTATAATTGCAGTATGCATGTCTGATGTTTCCTCGGGTCCAGCTTCGCATATAATTTTATTCAGTATTTTCATTTTAGAAGACGATAAAAACATTTCAATTGTAGAAATATACATTTCTGTATTATATTTGAGCAACCTTCATTCAGTTTGACGTAAAAACATTAGGACTGTAGGCAGCAAGGCTGCCAGAAACAATAAACAAAAAAGCTATGCCAAAATAATCATCTTCAATTATGCCGAGCGCCCTATATCTCACTCCTGTGCAGAGCGCCCCATACCTCACTCCTGTGCAGAGCGCCCTATATCTCACTCCTGTGCAGAGCGCCCCATATCTCACTCCTGTGCAGAGCGCCCTATATCTCACTCCTGTGCAGAGCGCCCCATATCTCACTCCTGTGCAGAGCGCCCTATATCTCACTCCTGTGCAGAGCGCCCCATACCTCACTCCTATGCAGAGCGACATAACTGGACAGGGTGGCCCAGCAGTTAGAGTTCAGAATACCAAAATTGTGGCAGTGACCTGGGGGTTCGATCCAAGGTACCTGCGACAGTTCTGGGACCATACTTTCAAAACTGGCTAAGTGAACGTAAGTACCTACGCTCTATTTTCTTGTTCATGATTGGTGGATTTTGTTCGAAAGGCCGTCAATTATTGGCTGATGAACTTACGATCTCTTAACTTTTTTTGAAAGTATAGGCTCAGCTGGTCAGAATCAGCAAGGTGGCCGGGCGGGTAAGCACAGCAAAATTGTATCAGTGAGTTGCGTGTTCGAGACCCGCAAAAAACTGAAAATTCTACGTTATTTAAAACTGCCGACAGGTGTAACGGCCTAATCAACGCTGTCATCGCTATTATATATTATGGTATTAATTATATTTATTATTATTATGATAACTCACCCCTTTGCAGAGCGCGGTCTTGAGTACAGTGACGTGACCATGTCCATTATAGTTGCTGCTGAAATAGGTGCTGAGGCAGAGCCCCGTCAGGCTCAGGATGATCACCATGAGGCAGGCCGGTAAAAACCGCGACATCGGACGAAGCATTTCGTCGTGTACAATTCTTCTTTGGTATTTAATATCAATTCATCCCTAGCTATCCGGCTTGATTAGTTTCACATTCACGCACTAAAATGTGGTTAGATATATTCCTATTTCTGTAAAATAAAATATTAATTAGTGACAAGTAACTTCCTAAGACTTAACAAAAGCATAATAAGTCAAATCAAATAGCTAAATAATGCATAGTGACATTATTAAATGAGATTTATAATGAGAAAAATAGCAAATTATTTGAGATCTGTAAAATGTTCTAAATATAGTATAAATAAAGCATCCATCGTGTCCTCCAGCCAACCGAAACAAAACCCCCAATATGATAAGCTTGTCATTGCGATTACGTAAATTATTCGTGGTTATGACATCTTCAGATACACAAGAAAGGCTTCAACGCATTTATGACATCACTTCAATAGTTATCTATGCTATAGTTATAGATATAGTTATTGTTATAGTTATAGTTATCTATAGTTATCTAATAGTTATCTATGCTTTCTCGGTGTTGTTGTCAGGAGGGATGATGGTCATGGCTTTGGCTTCACGCCAGGTCTTATTTACGCACATATTGCGTTGTTCATGTGACGAGTTTTACACAGTGTTCTGACCATCGTTAAAAGCAATAATACGCAGTGATGCTTTATGAATATGCGGTGACCATGAGAACTCCGAGTCCCTAAATTCAACCTTGAATGTGCGTAGTAAAGTTGGAAAAACTGGTGAACATGAATGATCATTAGCCCACAAAGATTACATGCATGCAGGCTGGTCATTGACCTATATGGTGCGTTTGCCAATCTTTTCATTATTGGAAACTTATCGAGTAAAGAGTAAAATTTGTCTGAAATATCAAACTTCATTTTGAATATACTTCACAATTGACAGTCTTAATTATATTGGCAATTAAATCAATAGTCTCTTCTAAGGAGGGATCTCAAAGCAGATTTCGAAGAAGTGTGCGTTTTGAATAACTAAACTGGAATGAGCCCGGCCGGCGCTCAAGTCTTGATTTACACAAAAATTTCGGGCATATGCCAGTCATGGTTCAGTCCAATATTATATGATGCATTTCTTTAGAAGCATTCACGCCAAATTTTAATAATTAAGGCACCTGCCATGCCAGATATTGTCTAGCCACGATCAAAGCAAAAGATATTATGGCCGCGATGTTACTGGAATGCTATGTATTTCTGTCATATAAAATATTTAAATGTATATATTTTCACCCTATAATATCAGCAATTTTGTCTCGTGTAAACTAATTGACAATTAAGTTACTTCTCGATAAACTTTACATAAAGTTCATCAATCAAACAGAGAGGAAAATAACTATAAATGTTACTGCATATTGAATTGAAAATAAAACTAATTCAGGGGTGAAGCTATTCAAGATATATATTTATTGTTGGAAAATATAACGAAAATCCTAAAAATATATATGTATCAGTAAGATAGAAAATGCAAGAAAGCATGATTTGATATGATAGATGATACACATCTATCATCTATACAAACAATTTCAGGTGCATTCTAAATTTTTCGTATGTACCAAAGGATTCGTCGATACAAATCCTTTTAACCCTTTTCAGTGTTCCCTATTTATTTTCCCCTATGCATTAACCTGAATCTTAAATAACACCATAAATCTCCCAATCCTAATTGGGCTGATTAAAATATATTCAGTAAATCGGTTCGTCGAAGAGAATCTAAAATGCGTATATTGGGCGTTATTGAGTTATTGTAGATCACAACGTCAATTCACCTCCCGATATTTGTAACGTGTTCGCTAGTAGAATTTCTGTGGTGATTAATCGTAAGTTTTAGGTAACCGATGTAGAGTATTGGATTTGGAGTTGAAGAACCGTTGCGTATCCGGATAGGATTCGCGCTAGAAACTTTGACTTATTCAGAGACTCACTCTGATTTTAGAACCGAATAAACATGGTCCTGTATCGCCCGAACTGTCTAGGATAACCGGGCCATTTTATCAATAAATGTCCTTTGATGGCACCTTTAATTGTTTCGTATTCCAACCATTCTTCTGGCAGCTCCGGCCTCTTTACTGAATTAGAACCTTTTTAAAAACTTCCTCCAAAGTGCCTTGATCGCTCAAAGAATTGAACCACGCTACCAGTATGGTTTCGCTATTAATCGTTAAATCATATTTGAAAGTCATAGATTGAAATTAAATTAACGTTAAATGTGGAAAAAGAGACAAAGAGCACAAAGAACGTAAAAAAATAGCACTGTACAGGTTAGGAAATGTGTAATTTTCAAATACTTCAATAAAATTAAACTATCGGTGAACGCGCTCTCGCGATTTCAATAAGACTTCAAGTACAAGGAAATATCAGAATGCCCATTCACACAGCAAGGTATCCACCCCGAAATTGTCTTGAATTCTGTAGGTGAAATTATCTCATTAGAATGACGATTAGTCGGCACATTTAATAGCATTTCAACGAAAAAAAAAATACTGATTTGAATGGGTCTTGCAATTTGCATTTCTCTAATAATTTCCATTTACTTTCTTCCACTTTTTCCTTGCTATATCCTGCACCATCTTTTTTTTTTATCAAGAAAGGCTGATGCCGGTTAGATCTCATGCCTAATTCATCTCATCGTCTTGCTAGATTATTCATGTTCATTGTTATCTCTTGCTAATTGTGCGTGAAGTGAATGTAGGGGAATTATTCTTATGGTTGCTGGTAAAATCCAGAATTTTGTACAACAAATTTCAAAGGAGACGGATGTTCAGAGAATGTCTCTAAACATGGATATTTACTTAAATAAAATGTCCTCGCGGAACATAATAATTGACTTGTATAACATAGCGTCATTCTAAACTCAAATAACCCTTATTTATGTAGAGGTTGATCGGTACACACATATTGCATTTGTGCTTCTACAGTTGCTCCGTCCTGCGAGAGGACGTTGCCAATATACTGTTAATTGAACTTCATGTGAACGCAACAAATGTTATTATAACACCGGCTGCATTATACGAGCGCATTGTTGTATATTATACACTGCATTGTGAGCGCGAAGAAGTTTTACTTTCTAGAACTAGAAGCCGTAATTAACAATGTTTATCATGGTGGTTCAAGTCGACAAATGTCGACAATTTACGTCAAGCAGAAGCAACATTTTAGAAGATGCTATCACGCAGACAGATATGCACAGTTAAATCATTCTTTAACGTTTTGATTTTTTGGAAGCTAGGACAATGTATCAAATGAAAATATTCTTCCAGAAACTGTTAACCGTTGTACATTAAGTATGATTCACAAGAAAATATATTATTTCAAATTATTTCCATCATTCATGCACCAGTGTATCCGATTATATACAAAGGCAAACATTTTTAACCTTTTCTCACAAGTGTCAATATTTAAAAAAATCGTTAAAAAATGTATACTACAATAAAATATGCTAGAATATAAGAGAATATGTACACAATAAATATCTCTACTATTCTCAAAACGAATATTTTAGTTATCAAATAATTTAGAAACCTCTTCGCATTTTATTAGAGAAGGAACCTCAACTTAACCTCCGTCTAGTCACTGGAGCAAATCTAGAGGCGACCTCGACCCTGAACGGAATATACCATTAGTAAATGAGCTTGTAATGATGTTCAATGTTGTGACGGAAAATACATGAAATGTAACTCAGTCGAACTCCTATACATCTGCTGAACTCGATATAGCAATGTACGACATTGCTAAACTGTTTACAAAACCAATGTTAATCATAATGAAAGTAAGGTTTAAAGTTAATTTCAATTGTGAGTATGTTTATTTGTTCGCTTTTCTGGGTAATAGGATCAATTTTAACACATGTCATTTATTGTCCATTTACCAATAGAGTTCGATGTGCGAAAAATCCTATGCACGCCTTTCACTGCTTTATTTCCGGAATGCGACGTCATGAATGCGACGGCAAGAATGCGGCACCGAAAATGCGACGCCGCAAATGCGACGCAGGGAATGTGACACCGGGAATGCGACGTCAGGAATGCGACGCAAGGAATGCGACGCCGAGAATGCGACGCAAGGAATGCAACGCCGGAAATGCGACGCCTGAATGTGACGCAGGGAATGCGACGCCGGAATGTGACGCCGGAATGTGATGCAGGGAATGCGACGCCGGAATGCGACGCAAGGAATGCGACGCCGGGAATGCGACACCAGGAATGCGACGCAGGGAATGCGATGGCGGGAATGCGACGCCGGAATGTGACGCAGGGAATGCGACGTCAACAACTACAGAACAGATCCAGCTTGCTGTTCATTGGTCAAATTCAAATTTAATTTTTATTTAATGAATATCCACTCACTTGCAGGTTGAGTTTGGATAAAGATCAACTGAAGACTTTTCCAATAATTATTTCAACAAGCTTAATCATTATGAAGCTCGTTCGTGTATGTTGAAATTGATGAAAATGGGCTATGCCCGATACCTTTTCCACGGCAGCTGAAGACTTTACGCAGGCGATAAACTCTTCAAACTATCGGATTTGTCAGAGCTTCGAAATTATCAAATTAATCAATTAAGAAATTTCTCTTTACAAGCTTTATCCACAATACTCAATCATTATATCACTGTTGCACCAGAATTTTAAATTTTAAGAAATTAAATATTCCGTTATTGTTAATTAGTGACGTTCATTTCAAACTTTCAAACGTTGTACAAATAAATTTAACGTCCCGTGAAAACAAATATCGTTAAACCTTGAAAATCTTTTAAATGTTGGAAACGCATATTTAGAGAAGCAATAATAAAATTATTGCGAATAATTTCTCCTGCAAAAGTTTTATCTTAGTAAGTTCAGGGTGGAAAGTTCGGTGGCCTAGGGTGAAATTTAGAAAGGTTAATATATAAACGAATGCACACACCATATTCGATCAAAAAGCCTGAAACTATAACTTCACTTTATACTTAAATGATATTTAGGATGCGTCTTGGCTGGATTGATCTTGAATATTTGAACCACCACTCCAGAATTCCACCTAGTCTCCTTATAAGACTTCTGGGTCTTGTTAAGAAAACGCACACTAGTATATCCTTGTTAATGAAACGCAATGTATTTTTTTACATTGA